AATGACTTCTATGCAGACACATGGCATGCTTGTATGCAGTAGATGTTCATGTATACGGCATGATTCTAGATGAGTTCTCATACAAATAGGACAATTGCACGAAAAATATAGCACACAATATACCATGGCGAAGGACGTACCTGATAACATTGCAGAAACTGAGAGAATCTCGTTTGAACAGTTGAATTCAGGGCTGACTATGAGCATCTTTGACATCTGGGGATCCAAGGGAAACTCACTCATTATCTCACCAGTCTTTGTCAAGTTACCTTCATCATCCAATGCTCCCAAATAATTCAAAACCTCTAATGCCCGCATCAGTGTCTCAGGAGCAGGGGGGTCCATGAAATCAAAGTGCACCAAGTCATCTATACCCAGCTTTTTCAATGTCAAGACTGTATTAGCAAGGTTTGATCTCAATATCTCGGGATATGTCTGTGGCTGCAGATCATTGTTGAAACTCTTCTCTGTGTAAAGCCTGAAACATTTTCCAGGCCGAGTTCTACCAGCACGACCTGACCTCTGGTGAGCACTTGCCTTTGATATTGGGGACACCAACAATGACTCAACACGAATCCGTGGGTTGTAGACTTTCTGCTTAGCAAAACCAGGGTCGATAACATAAACAATCCCATCAATGGTTAGAGATGTTTCAGCGATGTTGGTTGAGACAACAATCTTTCTACCAGCAGGACCACCTTCTGTTAACGGCTCTGGAGCAGGGTCGAAAATCTTCTGCTGCATCGCAGGCGGAAGAGTAGAATACAAAGGCACAACTTTGACAGGCCCCACTTGATCTCCAAGATTACCGACCTCTTTATTGATTTTACGGCAGGCGTCTTCTATCTCCTCCTCTCCAGTTAAGAAAACAAGAATATCTCCAGATGGCTCGCACATGTGTATCTGAACAACGGTCCTTATAGCAGCCTCAAGATAGTCCCTCTCGGGTTCCTGTGTATAGAAGATCTCAACTGGATGAAGCCTACCAGGGACTTTCATAAGAGGAGCACCGCTAAAATATTCCTGAAACTTTTCAGCTTCCAACGTTGCACTCATCACAACTAGCTTAAGGTCAGGTCTATTCTTCAAAACCTCTTTCAAAAGACCAAACAGCACATCCGTAGCTAAAGTTCTTTCGTGAGCTTCATCGAGAATAACAACTTTATATCTCTCTAAAAGCGGATCCGCCATCGCCTCTCTCAACAGCATACCATCAGTCAAATACCTGTAACGGTGAAGAGACAAAGATTAATGTTCAAATCAC